CGCGCCAGCGTTAAGCACCCTCGCGAGCTTCGGCATTTTCACCGTTTTCCCCCTGGTTTTTCCTTTTCCGCTCGTTTCCGTTTCTTTCGATATCGTTCGTTCGTGGCTGCACGAGTACGCCAGTTGCAAGTTTACGCGTCGTTGGGTTAGGTTACTTTTACAAGTTTCTGAAGAATGATTTTCACGAATTTCTGGAAGATGTTGAATAAGAATTCCGATGAGAAATGTTTATTATTGAAAACGTGATTCGATTCAACGAAGCGAGCTATTATTTTACGCGACACGACACGATATCAGTGCAACGTGCAACTGACCCCGCGATTCTTTCGCGATTTATTTGATCAGAGAAGGTAAATAGTTACTCAGACCATGCTTTATGCCCTTCGCCCTCGTGGACGCCCACGAGTAGCGCACTGCGACGTGGTATATCTAAACATATCATTTATTCACCAAACACGGTCGGAACGAACGTACGAGAGCAGGTCGGCAGACCGACGTTGTGCACGGTGCACAATAAAGCCGTCGCGGGCCACGTGTTTGCGAACATCGAATAGAATTCAATGTGGACACGCGCGTTCGCAAATATCCACAAAATTCTTTCAGCCCTCTCCTTCCACGCCGCCATCGTGAAAACGTTTTTTTCTGTTTTGTCCAACTCGCATTCGCGCGACTATGGCCACTGTGTTTTCTCGCAACCGTCGTGTTTAACCCTTTCGATTGTTCCCGACTTCGATGTCGCCGATTCTGCGACTGTACGATTAACGAAGAGTCGTAACGGTTCCTAGACGAGTAATTGACTATGATCACGCGAAACCGCGATAGATAATGAAATTTACTGAAGATTGATGCGCATGTTAGAAGCTTATGGATAACTGTTAACGATTGAAATGCAATTACCAAGAGTATGTTGGGTTCTTTAAAGAATCACCAGACAAATGATCATGAACTCAAGTGATAATTTATCTATGTATTGAAGAAGGACTTCGTTTATATTCCAATAGAAAATTTTGCTATCAAAAATCTTCGAGATAGAAGCTACTCTACATACTTCCGCAAAAACTGTGCGCCGTTTCATACATACTATTCTGCTGCATCCATTTCGTCCAGCTAAATTCCAATCTAAATTCCAATGCGTCCAGATCGGAATAGATTTTGCATGTAAGAACGCGAGAGCAGAGCGCCCCGCGTTCGGACGTCGATTCGAACGCTGGATAGCGTCCAAAGCACCCTTCTTGCGTTTATCCCTTACCCCAGCTCAGAAACCCTTCCGATAAATTGCGGAATGTTATTTAAAAAATGAAAACGAATTCAGGTTGAAAAGGATATTAACGTGAACGTGCACGTAACAAGTGTTTCTCATGTAACGAGAACGAAAATATGCATCGACCTGTACGCTTTCCTACCACCTTTTCATCCCATTCCGGCGGCGTTTTTCAGCCACTTTAGCCGACTGCAGTGGCAAACCGGCGACAATGCGGAATAGGAATTTCATTCTGCGCGAAATGTCGCACGCTTCTCGTTTTTTTCCTCGCCCGAGCACCCGCGACTGTCCTGCATCCGGTCCCACACCGTGATTACATTCGACTCGCGGTACGAGCGAAGAGGAAAGCGAGAAAGTCGCGGAAACACCTCGAGCAGATAGCGAAATTAACTGATGCAGCGAGATCTCATTACCATTTCGCTGAAGGCTCGTTTCGAGCCGTGACCCAGTATGCCGAGTCGAGCCGGTGAGTGGCTGAAATAATCACGAATTAACCGAGTTTTCACGCGTTCCTCGACCCCTCCGCGCGGCTCCGTTTTCCTTCGAATCGAGCCGAGACGACACTCGGATAAACCGTCGAACGATTTATCACGCTACATTATTTAGCCGTGTGCCAGTCGCAGAGGTATTCTTTCCCGTGCTTCTCGCGGAGCTGCTCTAGAAGTATCGTTAAATATTAACCGCTGCACTCACGACCCGCGGTGTCTCTCAGCCACGTTCTTTCGTCTCTTGTTTGCCGCTTGGCACTCGGCTAAAAATGCAACACGAACGGACGTTTGCGAGAGTGGATTATAAAATTTCGCCTTTTTTGTCTACCCACTTCGAATAATTGACATTTTTCGCGGCAAGTTCGTAAAGTACCTACACTGATGCGATCATCCCATCTCATTTTTCTAACGATACCAAAACCGAGACTGGGTCGAAAATAGTAGCGATCCGTCGTCTCGCGTCGTAGTAGGTCGTTCGAAAAGCAGTCCAGGTAGAAAAGACCTCAAGTAGAGATCGAACCACGGATCCGTCTTGAAACGACGTGCCGAACGGAACAGGGAAGTTAAACGAAGCGAATAAAAGAATTAGACCAGGAAAATTGAATTCAGCCGACGGAAGAGACGAGGGGATCGAAGTGGTTGAACACACAAAAGCCGGCAGTCGGAAACGGCAAATGTATCAAGCGTACATCTTTAATCAACTTCGATTCGTCTTCCGGAACGTTACTTCTACCTCGCGTTCATCCAGCAAGCTACGAGGTCGTTCGTGTCAATTAATTCTATGAAGAGCAACGATCAAGCGATTAGATTGACGCGAGATCCTCGATTATTACCCTAACAGAGAAATTTAATTTCGAAGATGTAGGGAGAAAAAAAGACGTTTCGTCTCGGGATCGTCTGCTAGACTCGATCCCTGCCGCAGACGCCTATAACTCCGCGTTTTGAAACTCATGCCGGAGAACCGCCAGCGAGAACAGATCAAATCCCGCCGCCACCTGGCGGTCGCCGACCCGAACTAAGAGCGTCCGGGGAGATTCATTGCCTTCCCCCTCCACTAAACGCCTACAAAGAAAAAATTTAATCATACGAATAAGAAAATTGGAGATGTGTAAAATGAACCTCCACGAGGATAAGAAATCTATCGCTGGGATATTTATTGAGTTCGATACCGGTCAACTGGACTGTCTGGACATCCACGGTTGTTCTGGTTCAAAGATTACGATCATAAGTAAAAACCTTCCCTCTGTCGGCTGTTTTCTTTTCGCTCTATCTCTTCGCACACGCGGCTCCCTTCCACTCGGTCCGGTGGCGTCGCTCTCTATGAGAATGTTCGGCGACGGCTGCATCGCACAGAGCAGTGCTCGCCACGGCATGCATTATGGAACGAGCGGGCAACGATTCTAGCGGAAAAATTGCGGACACGCGAGACGGACGCGATCTGCAGCCCGACTACCTACCTACCTAGATATGTACCTAAGCACCGACCCAACGTTCACTCGGTTGCCCCCTTCTATCCTCCGGAGAAGATTGCTTTTCTATATTGCGTCCTTCCCTTCGTACGCGTTTCTATGTTGCGGCTCTTTTCCATTTTAGGAGAAACGCTTGAGAGATCTCAATAAAGCGGTTGCTGATCTCGCACGACCCCGTCATATGTACTAGGAAATTAGTAATTGTCTTGGAATCTAATTAGCGTTTCCCTCTATTACTCAAATTGATGGAACCAGGAATATGGGATCATCATTGAGAACATTGTTTGCATCAAAGTGAATCGTGTCAATGCGAGCAGAGATGAACCATTTAGATCCAATAAACCTGTCGAATCGCATCATCATCGATGCGAAATTACAAAGACAAAAGTCATTCTATCTCGAGCGTTGAAGAGGCAAAATTGCCGGTCGTTCACGATGGTAATCGGAATAAGAGAAACTGAACATCTGTCGACAAACGGGCTGACAGTGACGCAGCGCGAAGTCTAGCGAATTTGTCGTCGCCAGGAAATTCCGCGTCAAGCAACCCCCGCGGCTGATGATGGAAATGCCGGCGCGTAACGCGGCCGTCGGCCGAGCGGTTGTAAAAGAAATATTCAGCGACGAATGTGCAAATGAGGGAGGAAAGAGACGTGCTACCGCTCGTCCCATTTGCGTCCGTAGAAACGTTACGAGGGAAAAAAGCAACGCATCCACAGTTGAGGCCGATGCTACGAGGAACCGGGCTAAAATGATAAGAGCCGTGTAACGCTGATGAAAGGAAGGATAGAGCGTAATCCCCTTGAGTCCGAATCTCCAGAAGGGTTTGCGTCACCAGATGCGGCGGGATAACGATGTTTTAAATTTAAACGGTACTCGAAAATAAACCGCGTGCTTGGCCATCGTTGAGAATTCTATGCACGCACACATAGCGCCGTTTATTTGCCGAATTTAAACCTGTTCACGTGCGTTTCCTTCGCCGCAACGTCTGCCGCGTTAACCTCACGGTATTTGAACAAGCATCGAACCCGTTCACCGATCTAGATGACATTTTAAGCGTGACCCGATTCGACGAAACGCGTTGTTCTGGTGAAAAATCACGAGGCAAACTTTTATACGTTTATTTCTCCTCGCCCGTTTCCGTTGGTTTATTATACCCGCGCAACGTGCTCCGCTCGTGTTCCGTTGGATTTCGACTTTCGATAGGAGAAAAAGTTATCCGCTTCATCGCGTAACGTCCGGTTCTCGTTGCGAGGAATATACAGTTTCGATAAAAGCGATACATCATACCGATGGCCGGTGACCGAAAATCGTACGAGAGATAATCGCCGGCTGCGAAATAAAACGACAAAGTGTCGTACAAAATGACGAGCAACCGTAATGACAGGCCGCTGCGCTCGCTTCGTTCGGTAAGATTGATAACTATCCGATGCACCGATCGAAACGAGAAACCCATTACTTATCTTCGAAAGGACTATCATTATGCGCGTTCCCTTACGCGAACCAAAATCATCTCTACCAACAGACGAAGCAACGGATCGGTAGCATAAGAGTAATTAGTCGAAATTATTCGACGTCAACGTACGGGAAATCAATGTAATTTCGCTAGAACGTAGGACGATCATTTTCAATTCGCCCTCCATTACACGCCTAAGGACAGATAATAATTACGCTCTTCTTTTCGATCGTCCTTTTGCGCGTGATTGATTGAACGTCTCGTTCGAAGCTTCGACGATTTTAAGGAATTTTCAAAGAAATAAGAATTTATCATTCGATGACACTTACCTGAAGATGTAGCTGTCCATTGTTGTCGACCCAGCCGATGACCATGTCAGCTCCGAATTTTCCATCGTCCTTGGTGAAACCGAGTCCCACGTAGCCCAGTGTTTTCACTTGAACCTCGAATATAATATCCCTCTCGCCAGGTGTCCAAAGGACCAGGAAATTATCGTCCAGCACGGCGCTGTGTTTCCATTCCACACAGAAGACACCGCTGACAAACAGGAGGAAACACGAAGCGATTACTGTCTTCATCTTCGACCTCTAGTGTTCTCTCAATACATCTGCAATCAGATCGTTAACGTGTTAATACATAGCTCAAAAGTGTGCGATAAACAATTAGAATTACAGTGTAATAATTTGTAAGGGGTGGAACGTGGAATGTCTGGGAAACTTTCATTACGAACGTTGAAATTGTAAGTACTTCGAGTTCTTGCACAGGAAAACGTGGTAATGATGCAAGGCAACGATCTTCTTTTTATTACTCGTTAACTTTCGCGTTATAACGCGTATAGATACTTTGTTCCCATCATCATCGAACCCAGACTCGCGTATAACTCTCGTTTCTATGCTGGCGGTAGATCGTTAGGCTTCTATTTAGGGGTATTACGCGGCCATAGGAAGGCCGAGCAATATTTTCCTTTAATATTTTAACAGCGGTAGCTGTCCATTAGCCGCGTTGCAGCCGCATCGACGAGTCACTAGCTCCTTTAAAGCATAAACGACTCGCCGCTGCGTTTCACTTCCCGTTTCGCATATGACCCGTTTATCGTGCAAAATGACGTCCCTGTACACCTTTCTTTCGCCGACCATTTTCACTTGTTTCCCGTGAAAAATCCTATTAACTTCTTTACTGTTTCCCAACGTACACGCTTCGTGTTCTAGTGGATCCAGTGTTTCGAGAGAACGGGGACAGGAACATTGTACCGCCACGTTCAGGAAATTACGTAAAATTTCTAGCTACCGTGGATTAAAGCGATTCGATCTAACGGTAGATACGTTTCAATCGATTTATCTCGTCGACTGTCCAACGAATCGGTCCGCGCTAGGCAGGTTCGCTGTTAAACAGAAAGATTAATCGCAAACTCGATTCGCGGACGATGATTGATGTTGACCTTAATTCCCGATCGCCTTATCGCGAATCGCCGCTGTATCACCGATATATACGTTCTCGTTTCCGGTTCTTTTGCGACCTCGCGTCGATACCGCCGCCATCAATTTCACTTTGCTCCGACCAAGAATCCGTACACTTTTTGGACGGGAAAAGAAAAAAGAAGTGTACAGAGTAATTAACGTTTCGGCCGAATAGGTACGCTACGGGCGAACGTAGAAAGAATTTCACGGATGATCGAGCGAGAAAAAGGAAGAAGTCTGTTAAACGCGGTCAGCAAACACCGCACCGACGGATGAGTCGTTTATACGAATATTGCACTCGCGGCAATCAACCAGGACGGTGGAAGTGAATTTCGAGAGGGAAAGAAAAACTCGATTCGGGGCTGCGGATTAAGCGGTCCGCACACACTCGCTCCGGCCGGTGCACGGAACTCCGCGTCGCGAGCACCGACAAGCAAAAACGAGCAAGGAAGAGTTGCGCCGGTATGGAAAGCGGAACGGGTTAAAAAAGAGAAGAGATTCGTAACCGCGGTCCATGATGGCGGCCGAAAAACAAGCCGCGGAAGCGGCAGCGCGAAGGAAATCGAATTGATTCGGCAACGGGGACGATTAAAAAATTCAATGAGGGTCGCGTGCGCGGCGAAACGGTCGATCGTCGACAGGGGAGGGCGGAAAAACAGATGGCCGGTTCGTCGAAATCTCTTTTGTCCGCGCCCGTGTGCAAACATCCGACGGTAAATCAGCTGGACACTGTCAAGAGAACTGTCAATTCGAAAGCAATCGAATCGATTAACAGTAACGATCGCGTGACGCTCGAACGAGGCGGATGCAAATCCACGGAACGATGCAACGTAACGTCCCGAAGTGTCGGACGAGTGGGCGCATCGCGGTACCGTTCAACTATTCGTTTCCCGCGGTTGGGAAAGCAGAGAATTAAGCGCATCGCAGAGATCATCGATCAGTGAAACGCGTCGTTCCTATACTCTGCGCCTCCATGTTTTCCCGTTGCGTGGAAAACGCCGCGATTCCGACCGGCCACGTGCTTCACGCGATTTCGAGCACCGCGAAACGACCGCAACTATGGGACAGAACGTTTTAATTAACGACAACAATGGTGTAACGGGTAACCGTTCGAGTAACAGGGGCACAGAAGCAATGTCGAACCAGTAATATTCCGCTTGGTACATAATCAGGATCGATGGCTTTGACTTAAGTACCGTTTAACCGGCGGAATTAGTGGCAAGCTTTTTGGCTGGTTCGAGCAAATTGAAACCAATTCTATTTATTACGTTTCAACTAGGAAGTATTTATCGACAATTACTCCATAGAAATTTCAATTATTAATATCTAGATATTTTGCAATCAAAATTCTACATCGTAATTGATTATATTTTATACTATACCGTTTGTGCCTTTCAATATTGGAACATGTATAAAAAATAGTTCAAGGATGGAAACGATTTACATCAGTTTTTAACGCTAAACGATTTTGTAATAGTATAATCCTGGACTGGATAAAATTAAATGGTTCAAATTCACGGGTCGTGTGCTTTTCCGGTCGGTGTCGAATCGATTGTGTTGGTTACATAACATGGATCGATTGGGGATTAAAGGTAAATTTGAGTCCTGTAATTTTTAAGCGACGGATTACTGTCAAACGAGTCGGAACGTAAATTTAAAAAATTCAGTCTTTCTCGGATATTTTAACTCCGTGTAATAGAGGATTCACTATCGGGAAATGGATGTAATAGTGATGGAGTAAATCCCGGATTCGGTCTGCAATGTTTATGAGACGAAAATTTAATCGATAATAGCTATTAAGTTGATTAAATTAATCCTTATTACGAGATTATCGAAGTCATCAATTTTTCAAACGGAAATTTTATCAACTTAGGAGTAATTCGCTAGAATTGTACACGGTTTACTGAAACATAATCATCGCCGACGTAGCGCAGCGTCAGGAAACTTGGATCCCAAGAAGCGGAAACCGCAAATAAGGTCGTACAAATAGTCAAAGTTCGACCCGCAATGAAACTGTACCATGGAAACTGTGCAGCTTCAAACGCTCGTCAGAGAAGCTTGTTTTCGTGCGCGTCCCATTCTTAATAATTGCCTCTGTAACGGTTCAAGATATTTCAACCGTGAACTTTGCGTCGTCGCTGCTAACTCATTAACCGTATTGGAAAACGTATTTTTCACTGTCAATTATCATCCATGAAATGCATACTCGTTTCGTTAATAAAAACCTGAGAGCCAAATTAAACAGAGAAGTAGTACGCTTCGTAACGTGAAATAAAAAATAAAAAAAATATCAATCGCGACGATTCCTCAGCCGATAAAATAGCGCAAACCGAAACGGATGCACGCGAGTTGAATGGTTATCCTGTTCCTCGAATCGGTGCATCGAATACACCGAATTTGTGGCCCGTTCGACTATGCCTCGCAGCATCCCCCGACCGATCCTCACACCCTCGGGAATCCTCGCTTATGCATGCACCATGCGCGACGTGATTTCGTCGATTTTACGGTGCTAGTAGAGCAACCGCCAATCTGAAAACGATCGATTCAATTAACAGTAACAGCGGTGTAATACGCGCCGGATGCGAGGTGATGCATCGACAGGAGCAGCTGTCGCTCGGCGAACTCGAACCGTTCCACCGTACGGAGAAGCGTCAACTCGAATTGAGAGGACAGTGCGGGTCCGTGATACGAAAAGGGTGTCAAGGGAGGGGAGAAGGGATGAAAGGTGACAGAGGGAGAAAAAGAGATTGGCGCATGGTGGTTCGGATCGAAGAATTTCGTGGCATTTTGACGTAACCCTCGAACCGTAAAAAAATAATTTCAAAGAATAATAATTCAGTGAAGGTATTTTTGTTTAAACGTCGGTAAATCCTTCGATCTGTACTACTGTGCGGCGACACGAGTAGGAGGTATAGGCAATGGCAGAGGATTGGTGGAGAAGGGTAAAGAGGGAAGCGATTCGAGGGGGATGCAGTGGGCAGAGACGAGGCTGGCTAACACACGACTACCACGGACGGGTTTGATTTGCGGCGTGTCGTTCAGTCGATTGCTCTCAAATTGCGTCCAGCGCCAGTGGCATCAACCTGGAACGTACCCCCAATACATTGACGCCCCGGAACGTCAGAGGGGCCTGTCAGCTTTTCCATCCACGCATGGCTCGTGCATCCACCTATTCCACCCTTTCACGCCCCGGCAAAACCAGGCTATTCTCCTACCTTCACCCCTCCGTACCCTCGAGCTGGCGCGCAACCCTGCTCTTCCAGCAGCCACCACTTTGCCGTTCAACTTCTCTTAAAGTTAAATAAATCGTCAAGTGGCCGACGGTGAAACGGCCGGATCGAAATTACGCGAGAACTCTCTTGCTCGTCTACGATCGGACGACACAGCCAGGCCCAGTCGCGGTGGCTAGGATTGTTTGAGAAACGGGTGCGCGCTCGTTGTTAGAACGCGAAACGAAATTGCACCACGAGGCTTCCTCCCTTCCCGTAAACGAGAGATGTTTTACCGCACGCCCATTGGTCGGCAGTCGAACTACCGCATTTCGGATGTTACTATAAGCCGTTGGTTCGTGTGTGCTAGCTAGAAATTTCCGCTCTCCGAGTGGTCATGTACAAAATATCAACTCTGCCGTACAGCTCGGCCAGGATAAATAAAGCGGAAAGCATACGGAGGCTGTCAGAAGCAAAGCTCCCCGTCCACTCTAGCCAGATGCGAAGTACAAGGGCTGGCTTCCGGCAGTTTCGCATGAATTCTCGTATTCGTGAACCGTAGCGGTGACTAAAACAGCCCGGAGCATCGAATAAATTTCATCGGTCCGCTTGATCGTCGTTTATGATTTCCAGACGATTTATACGATACAAACGAATGAAAGAAAGAGAGAGTGATTCCTTTTTATTTTTTTTCTAGTCGATTTTCCGCTAGACGAACGAAGGGAAAGGGAGAGGGAAAAAAAGAGAGAAACTTTGTATCAGCACGGTCGGACGGGGTGGTTCGCTTGAAAAATCTGATGCGCCACGTTAAAGAGCAAGCTGAAATGTAATTTCTGCGGATGACACCAGAGATAAGCGTGACGTGGGATATTATAAAGCCGCGGTTCGTTCGTTTTTAATCGCCAACAAATTCCAACGTTATCGGGATGTAGTTAAAAACA